CTTCGTGCCATTTAGGACATTGGCGTGAGGTAGAGGGATGTTCAAGTCCACAATTGACGCAATGTGGTGTCTCGTCACAATCGGTACCCTCGTGCTTGGTGCCGCATCGTATGCATAAAGGTGATATGCACGCTGCTGCGACGTGCCCTAGTCGTCCACATAGCTTGCATTGTGTTGGCTTCTCTAAGTACTGGTTTACCTTGTGGCGTACAAAGCCAATGTGAATAGCATCTGGGGCACGTGAAGCTGAAAATGTAAGTGCTACAGACTCTGATATTCCCAGCCTGCGTACCCTTATGACGGGGGGTTCTGATTTTGCGCATTCGAGAATTTCCTTCTCGGTGATATCAACCGACACACCATGAATCACACCAACTGCCATACTGCTCGTGCGTGGTTCATATGCTCTTACTTGAATGCCACACAATGTGGTGATGCGCAGAAGTGTAGTGGTTGTGTCAAAGTTACGTGTGTCCACGGCGAGGATATTTAGTCTTGCGTTAGGACGAATGCTTATGATTCCTTCTGGGCAATTGGCTTTTAGAGCACTGGTTAGCTTGACAGGATTAAGGGTTTTTATTTTGATCTGTGGATCTTGCGGTGTAAATATGACGACGTTTCCTAGTGCTGTGCCGTTAGGAATGGTCGTGTTCGCACTAGATCCAGAGCTTTTCCGGACTCGTTTCTTTCTTTTAGGGAGCAGAAATTCGCCTTCATCATCAGTTGAAGCTTCGCAACTTGATATTTCAGTTTCTGTCTCATAAGTTGTATTTTTCTCGATAGCTTGTTGAGGGTCATCTTGCCTTTGGGATGTAGTAGCCGGTGGAAGTGGTGAGGTCATTATCAGTCCTTGCGTCTCGTTAGAAAGGTGCTCACTCATGGATGTTGAGGGCGGTAGGTCAGGCTTTGAGCCTGGGCCGCTCTTGAAATGCGAAATTCGGTGTTGTGGCAATCTAGACGTTGCAGATGATCGGGTCCATGGGGCCGATGATGTTTCGAAGCCAAATATTTAGAACTGGGATCTTCTGACAGCTCCGTGGTTTGTAGAGGAGGCTTCTAAGATGTCCTTTTCGTTGGTAAATGTTTTCAGAAACCCAAAAACGCAGAATTATTTGCAAAATTGCCGAGCACTAACAAAAAAGCGTTCGTAGAGCACGGCAGCTTCTTCTTCTTTTCTACCCGAGGTATGGTATATTAGAAGTGAGAGGTGCACCAAGCACCGCTTAAAGCTTCTCGATGTGTTTGCGCTTGTCTTGCAAGTAGCGTCAAGTGTGCCAGTGCGCGAGGCCCGTGTCTCGAGTTGTCCTGGGAAGCAAATGGCGGTGAAGCACTGAAATGAGCGGCCTTTGGAAGCGAAGGGCGGCGAAGCACCCGTACTTGGCACGTGTCCTGCGCGTTCCCACAACAATGGTTGACGGTACTTGCAAAAAACGCCTTTATCAAGGGGCTTTACCGCCTCTCGCTCCTGCGCGCCTCCATCGGATACTCCGCGCCGTCGCATTGCTCTTGATGGGCCCGTGACGTGAGACATTCCAACGAAGCTCGGCCCTCCAACTGCCAGGTGGTATTGGGAAATTGTTTTATTCGTTTTAAAATTGCTTTTGTTGCGTTTACGGACGGGTCTGCTGTTCGTGAGCTGCTGTCGTTAAAGAGACCACGTCTACACAAAGAATTAGGCGCTAAAATATCGCATCCGTAGCATTTAAAAGCGTGAAAAGAAACTACTGCTCTCCCTTTCTTAATATTTTTTTTTAACAATAGCTTCAGGGAGACTACAATTATGAGTACATCAGAACACGAAACTTATCTTCCGAAACACACAAGCAGTGAACGAGAAATGATATTGAAAATCTTCATATTCGTGGAAAGTAATACCCCTGCCACACGGGCAACTCGAATCAACGAATGACATTTGTGTGATCGGCGAATCAGCTCGCAATCTCTCACGCGTGGAATGAGCCACGCCCGGTGTGTCGCGCGCTGATTGGCCATCCGCTCAAATGTCATTCGTTGTAAATGGCATTCGAGTTGCCCGTGTGGCACGGGTATTAGTCATATTTGAGATAGTTGCAGTCGGAAGAAAATGTCGGCTCAACGGCTGCTGTTGAGGTCACAGGCGTTTATGATGGAAACGTTTTCTTAGAAAGAAATACCGAAAGAGAAACGGTTAATTTTCCAGAACTGCGATTCATCGGAAGCACCCGTCGTGAACAGAGGAGATGCGAGCTCCTCCACGTACGGGCAGCCGTCGTTGAAGCTTCATCGCGCGTGCTGGTGCGCGCTGGTTCTTCGCCATAGGGTCTCAAGCGAGGAGACCAGTGAAGACAGTGGCCGTCTTGTAAACGCCAACTTCTCGGGAGGCCGGAGCTGGGTGGTCACCTTGCGCGCTGACGATATTCCACTCACCCCTAAGCCGAGACTGCGCTGGAAGCTACGTCCTCGTCGGACCAGTCACACACCTCTCTTTCGCCACCTGATCACGTTCCCGCTCATACCCACCCGCAGAGAACCGGGTCAGGTGATGAAAGGGACCCGGCTGATTGGTCCGGCGGATACGTAGCTCCCACTGCAGTCTCAGCTTAGGGGTAAACGGAGTATAGGGCAGCGTGTCTCAATGCAACAAAATTTCGTAATGTTCATAAACGGGTAAAGCAGAACGACTGGCCAAAGGGAAAAGATCAGACGGTTTGAAAATTCACGTCTTGCAGGGCAGGCGGGTAAACTGAACGATCACTAGCGTTAGAACAGTTTGAAGAAAATGAGGTGTTTATTTAATACCCTGAAAAACTGAAGGAACACAAGTGTTGGAACGCTGCAAGGAACCTCAGAGGCTTATGTACTGCCCTAGAAAACAAATGAAAGCCGTTTACAACTCCCTGTAACACCGAATTAGAGCGCAGCTCTTGAGGAGGAAATGGGAAGGGTACTGAGGGGAAGGTATACCCCTCCTCCCTCTTTCTCACCTCCCCATCCTGTCTGCTACTCCTCCCTCCGAGCGGCGTCGCCGTCGCCTCACGAGGTCATCGTCATCAGTGACGATGACGATGCCAATGACGTCATCAGTGACGTCATCATCAGTGACGTCAGTGATGACGTCATCAGTGACGATGGCGATGACGTCACTAATGACGTCATCAGTGACGATGACGATGCCGATGACGTCCCTGATGTTGTCATCACTGACGTCACACGTCCTATAATGCACCGCGCGGTTATGCCGATGCCGACGCCGCTCAAGCCGGAAACGGGCACCTTACCGTTCATTCACACTGGAAGCGGATCCGCGTTCGCAAAGCGGTTGCGAACGCGGTTGTATAAAGATCCAGTGCAATTGCACGCGCACTTGATGTCATCGAGTGCGCGTGCAATTGTACTGGATCTTTATACAATCGCGTTCGCAACCGCTTTGCGAACGCGGATCCGCTTCCAGTGTGAATGAGCGGTAAGAGCTGCGCTCTAAAACAGAACAAGCATGAGTGCGAGAACGTCGGAAAAAATCGCGGGGACTCTTTTTCTGCCCTGGAAAGAGTTAAACAGTCGAAAGAACGGCATGGGCCGAGAGGCAAGGCCGACGCACCAAGACGTAGTAGCGGGCGACGCACGAAGATGTAGTGGTAGCTGACGCACCGAAATGTAGTGATTTTCTGATGGAAAGGGACAATGTCGGTGGTTCGTCGATCAGGAGGCTACTTTGTGGCAGGAGACATGCAGAAAGAGCCGATAGAGCGGCCCTTTCTAAATGTAGATTGTTGCGTCCGTGACTAGATTGTTGCGTCCGTGAGCACGAAACAATCTAGTAAAATAGAATTACTACACTGCCACTGAACTGGGACCCGCTACTAGATTGGAAAGTTCACGCGCTACGTACGTAGAGCCGGGAGATCGAAACAACGACGGTTGCAGCACATAAATTCAACCAAAGTCCGAGATTGAAGAAAACAGGTCGGGCGACACATTCACAAACTTTTGAGCATGCTTACCCTGTCGATCCTCAGTCTGAGTGTTAAATGGCTCAATACGATCAGATGTTACGACTAGTGATTTTTTCCCATAAGCTGCACAATAAAATACGGCAAAAATAACATCCTTACTTCATTTGGGCAAATACCCACGTCAAACCAAGCGCACGGTTGGTCCTTATACTGGTGTTCAGCCAGCTTGTAGCCAGCTCAGCTGTCTCCAATGGCTGTCGAGAACCAGTGTTGCTGCTCGCTTTGACGAAATTTTTATTCCACCAACTTACGCGAATTGCACCACAGATGTGATCTTGGCGGATTTTCAAGTATCCCGAAAGCTAAAGGAGAACATATTTTATCGTCTTTTTGTCTAAGCAACTAATATTATTTTCGACCGCCTGTACGTGAATACCGGATTCGGAAGTGACCTCTCCCCGTCGTAACCTACAGAAAAGTGGTCATTCCACTGCGGTTCAGGGTCCTCACTTTGGCCAAACACCTTTCAGAATGTCAAACCCTACAAAACGCCATTTTCCCTACCAGCACAAAGTTGAAAATGAAGAAGGTCGACCGCATTCAAAGGAAGTGTCGCTGTCGCCCAAAGTTTTGTCGAAGCGCGTGCACTATACTTAGTTCACCCTTAAGCTAATATTGCAGCCAATGCAGAAAGCATGAGAGCATAAAATCATGGCTTTGAAAGGATCTTCCGCATGCAGATCGAGTGTTCGCGTTAGAACGACATGCCTCAATACCAGAAGCGCGGGCTAGCTTGTGCTCCAGATGACACCAGAGCTTTGGCTCTGGTCTCATCTGGAGGGTGAACACAACACAATAATGGCCTTGACTCCGACGAAGAAAATGGCCGTAGTAGAAAAAAATTCACAGTCCCTAGGATACTGGTACAATCTTTTCGATTCGTCGCCAATATCGGCGCAATAATGTGTACTACTGGGGACATAAAGCCCGACTGACGCTACAACCAGCAATAGAGCTGCTGATTACACACTGTTCGTTCTACGTGGTTGAATAAAAAAGTGGTCTTACGTTTTTGTATATTGCAGGGGTCAAATATCATGTAGGTTTTTAGCGGCGTATATCTTTCGCTTATTTCCGGAACTTGCATAGAGCTGCTTTCCGTAAAGGCGCTCACGGCTGCAACCGGTATAAGAAGGACCGCTACGAACATGTTGAGATTTTTTGTCAGCTGTTCAGAGTGTCTCATAAGTCGTAACTAACGCTTTTAGCCAGGTTCCTCACGTCTTATACAGCTTGAGAACGAAACGGGGAAAATAAAAGGCACACTTGTGTCATCTAAAAAGGAACAACAAAACATCTACTTGAAGAATGCCGCTATGATGTACGTTGTGTTAAGACGCAATGGAAAGATTGAGCAGATCACTAACGCCTGCTTCGGTAAAGGCAGCACTCCGTGTGCGCGCCCGTTGTAATTTAAAAACAGGCTTTCTATATTGCCGCCCGCAGGGTCGATAAAGAAACGCTCGGTCACGGACGTCTAGAGGATTCGCGTTCATTCTCGCACCAGACGTAACTTTTCTGCTGCTTTCTTGTTCTCGAAAGTGCCAGTTCATCCTCGTTCCGAGGTCGCGACGCTCGAACTTTCTTTGCCGAACTTTCGAGATAGTGACATACGGTAGATAAGCAGCTGCCTGCGACCTTGTCGAGTCAGTCTCGCTAGCGCTCTGAAGCCCTAATCTGGACACTTGGCGAAAAAGTCGGCGAGAAATCTGACGGCCGTGATTGGCCAACTCCGCACTTGACCTTGGCGCCGGCCAATCAGAGCCGCTAGATTTCTCGCCTTCTTTTTCGCCAGGTGTCCAGATTAGGGCCTCTGTAGTGCCGCCGAATCACCGCCCGCTTTTCTGCTGCCTCGACGCTCTTTCTTTACTTATTCTTGTTTGGCACAAGTTCGCCAACTAAACCTTTATCCTTCAGTTCACTGTTCGGCTTCTCGCCACCTTCATTCGTGACATTATCGTGGAAGATGGCTACCGCGCATGCTCAAAACGCGTTCTACAGCCCAGTAGGGAAAGATGGCAGCTCCCAGAAGGTGAGTATTGGAAAGGTCCATAGACCTTTCGAAGTGCTTATCACACGGTCAATGAACGCGGAGCCACTGAGCTGCGGACGCATGCGCACAGCAGAGCTACAGCGCATGCTCAGAAGGCGTACCACAGCCCAGCTGAGTCAGATGGAAGCGCGCAGAAGGCGATATTTGGAAAGGTCTATACGCGACTCCAGCAAAAACGGACGGCACCTATCGGGAAAACACGTAACTGGTCGATACAGGTCCTTTCGAGGTTTCTGCTCGTCTCTTGTGGCTTCCATGATTACATGGTGCCGGCGGTTTGCGCGATAGAACAGTTGTCTCGGCGACTCTGTCGCAACTATGGTATCAGCTTGTTACTCAGGTAGCTCTGAAGGCAACCCACGCAACCACGTGAACTAGACATTCCGCGTTTATCAACGTTCATGAGCACCTTGGAAGGAAGGCATGCAGCCCCTTCATCGCTTTCTCGCAAAAACTCAAGCCTCTCTAATAAGGTCACTTACGCCAACGCATCGCCGCAGGTTCAAAACGTGGAGGTTACAAAGCGGAGCAAACCATTTTGAGTCTGATGCTTGCTTGCCGATGCCCCAGCGCTGTGCGTTGATCTGGCGCATGGCACGGCCCGACCTGTTTTAGACCGCCATATTTGCCCGACAGTGGAGCCCCCTATAGGTCGCTGAAGTGGCTAGTAGACCTCTTTCGTGACGAACGCCGTGTTCACTCCTTGATGTAGCTGATATGGGGCAAATAGCAGATCACTTAATTTGCCGATTGGAAGTCGCTAGAATTCTCGGGGTTCCTGCCAATAGTTCAACTTTTTTTCTCATGGCAATATACTTTTTTTATTGTAGCTGTGATTTAACTATATTTTTTTCGCCGAACCGAAGTGCGCCATATGGCAATCGTAACGCGAAAACTTTTCTCTTTAAGTCCGAATGCAGCCGGCGCAAGGATCAAATGAAGCCATCAAGCCGCGCTAATGAACATCAAGATAATCGTTGTCGTTTTTTGTTTTTTTTTGTTTTTTTTCCCCTTTTACCCAACGGTTAAATTAAACACGCATAAAATAAAAGCGTAGGGTCGAAGCGTACGAAGCGTGTGCGTAAGAGACTTTTTCCGATATTCAGTCTGGTTACATTGATCACTATCATCATCTGAGGAATTGCATATGGGCCGTCCTACTGGCGGCGTCGACGTTCCTTTGGCCGGCATTGTGTTTCCTGATGTTCAAAGAACCTGAATGTGCCCCGAGTGGTTGAAGCGGGGCCTATAGACGCTTTACACACGCGCCAGAATACAGCCGCCATTGCTGACCTTCTCTTGTTTTACCGAGATACCGAGCCACTGAAATTGGTGTGGACGAGCCTCCACAAAGGCCAATGCTGGGGAGCAAGACAGAATAAAATCTAAGATGTCAATAACCTGGCCTGCTATGGTAATAATGAAGTGAAGTAAGCGTAACAAGGGGGAACAAAAACTGAAGGTCAGTTATGGCGGCGCCCATGCACAGCTGCTGCAAAGCGTCTATACACACCAGACGTTGCCACAATGCGACGCAGATATTGAACACTCGTAAGCGTTCATTTCTAAATCGGCTCCAGTCATTCTATTACCGGCCGATTATTGGCCCTAAATTCCCTTGATCTATAAAATACTATCACAGCGTCAATGTGAGTTTTGGGGCTACGTTCCGCTCGCTTATATGTTTGTCACCGTCGAAGTTAAGAGATACATAAAAACTTTAAGGTAAAACGCACAAAAAAAAACACAAAAAACAACATCGTTTCTGATAAAAACGAAAGTTATGGTGTCCAGCCATATACGAAAGACCGCAGGCCGATTACCGCCATTAATACGGCAAAAGGTAAACTGTTATTTGAGGCACAAGATGACAGGGAATTTCGAAAGGCCCTATGGCCTCCGTTTAATACAGTATTTCATTGAATTAAAATGTATTCTGCGGATAGCTTACTTTGAAACGATAGCATAAGTTGGACGCGCCACAAAAGTTGAAAAAATAAAGAAAAAAAGAAGGGGAATGGGGGTCGGGGGTAGTTCGTCAGGACAACCTTCTGTCCCAGGCAGTCATGTACACGTTACTAAAAAGAAGTAATAGATTACAATTCCTATTACTCTTGGCTAGAAAGTATTCGATTAGATCACTTGATTACTTGACAGCAAAAGTAATTGGACTTTACTTTAAGAAGTAACCGTTAGTTTTCCGATTACTTTATTGTGTGAAGAGTCACAACTTTAGCGCTCATAACAATTAAGTACCTCCAACCTCGAAATCTTGCTTGTCGCGAAGACCACGTAGCGGGAATATGGAATCTTGACGTGTATTTGAACTGGCTTTGTTATTTATTTTGCATCCGCTTTAGACATTCTTCGGTTCTGGTTCTTCTATGGGCTGCGAGAAAGTACCGTAAGCAAGATTATTTTTTATTATTATTTCTGCGTGTGTGTGCGTGAGGGGGATAGTTTGAACGAAGGACTTACAAAGCTACATTCTGCTCCCTCAAACTTCGTCCTGAATGGCCTTTGTCACGCACTGGGGCTTCCCTAAGGCTTCCCAGTCCCAACTAAAAAAAAAAAGGACATTCCACAGAAAGTATACATACAAAGGGGTTGACCTTGTTTCCTACAGATCCGCAAAAAAAAGTTTTTTTTTGTTTTTTTTTTCTGTTCGAAAAAAGTAGCAAATTTTATTTCTGTTATTTCACGAAAAAAAGGTGTGTGCGGGGGGGGGGGGGGGGGGGGTCTTCTGGAAAACTAGTAACGGTTAGAAGTAATTTTTATTACTTCAAAAAGTAGTCAAATTACTCTTGTGATTACTGCCTAATAAAAGTAATCAACTGATTACAAAATTGCTCCAAAAAGTAATCGATTACAAGTAATTTGATTACTTGTAATGCGTACGGTACAAGCCTGGTCATAGGTGAGCCCCGGCGGGTGGGGGGAATAGCTACACGATCACGGTGATTCAATCGATAGGCGCTAACTTCTACGTACGCACATCACCGTCGCACTTTCCACCACGCCTCCAGTCTTTTGATGAGAACAGGCCACGTGGTTATATTCGTTCGTGAAGCCTATGCTCCGCTTCATGATAACTTGACGAACGGTGGAGGCTGCGGCCGCCCCGACCAAATAAGGGAACGGAGCAAGGCACGTGATGACACTCCAAGGTCGAGGCCACCCGGGCCTCGTTACCGCCTACAGTAACTAAGCCCTCCACGACAAAATGTAGTTCTAGGCTCTTTTCCTTTTAACGGCAGTTGAACTCGCGCGATTCCATTTATAACGAGAATATATGAGGAATAAAAAATAAATAATCGCAAGTTTTTTGAGTTTTAATTATATTTAAATTTAAAAAAGGGAAAAAGGGCGTCACATCGGTGTCCGCTCGATTTATTTCGGCTTGTAGCGCCGTGGCCGTTGGCAATGGCAGCCATGTAATCGGCCATTTCCGCTCAGAACACCGCCCTGTGCCTTGGAATTAGCACCCGTCACAGATTCTCGGCTAAATTTAGCGTATGGCTGTCTCATGAACTGTTCCCGAAGTGCTCGCTATTCCAGCGGACGGATATGTTGCTGCGGTGAACGTTCATCCGAAGTTGGTTGGTTTCGGAGCAGGCGATTCTTGGCTAACAGACGATAGCCGGTTCCTCTGAGCCTCGCGCCTCGCATTTGACGTGGTTACAAAAATGCTCCCGTGACGTCGGGTCGCCTGCCTTGCTCCGACGTTCTTATTGGGTCGCGATGCCTTAGCCTCCGCAGTTCGCCAAGTTATCGTGAAACAGAGTATAGTACCTGCTCGATGCCGGAGCCCCCGATGGGCGCAGGTAGTTCCACTAAATAAGCTACGCTTTAAAGGAACGACACTTACCCACCTTGTGGCTCAAAACCGTAATTGCCACTTATCTGATGCTTCATCTAAAATCACAGGAAACGCGTCTCCGTCCTCCGCAAATGTTTATACAGTTCGTGACAGAGCAGAGCAATATTACGTGAGCTTTCCACCACCGAATGTAATGCTGAGGAATTCACACTTTTGAATCATAGCAATCGGCAGTTGCGTCTGATATAAACAAGGAACAAGATGGCGGCGCCCACAACAATTTCGGGGAACAGAGTGCCGATACTGTAAGCGT